TCAGGGTCAAGGGTTTAGGGTTTGGGGTTTAGGGTTTAGTTCTTATTCACTTATACACATGCATATATACATCTCTATATATGTATATATATATATATTGTTTCCCCACAGTCATTGTGGTGTTCTACAGCTGTTGTTTGTTCATTTATTGACTTATCTATCTAGTTATATACACATATATATATATGTGTGTATATATATATGTATATTCATTTTTTTTGAGGGGGATTGGGATGGGGTTTAAGATTATTTTGGGATCAGAGTTCTAGGCTGTAGAAATTATAGGGTTTATGTTTGAGTTTAGGGGGTAGTTGGGGAGGGTTTCGAAAGATTTTGAACTAGGTTTGCGCAGGTCGCCATCTGCTTCCAGGGATCCTTGCATCACACGGCATAGGGTTTAGGATCCTCGGGTGCCAGTCCTATACAGCACATACATCAAAGCGCCAAACTGTCTGGGGACGTTGCTCAAGCAGGATGCCTGTAGTCCTGACACGGTCCAGGATTAAACGAGGACCCTAAGATAAGGGAGTTCTTGTTTTGAAGAAGCGATCAAGGAACTGGTCGAACTTTGCTGTTGCAAAGTCGCACCCGAGCAAAAGTCTGCGAGTGTGGCTGGCTGGTGCATCGCCGCTGGCGACGCGAAGACTGCAAATCGCATAGCCTTACGGCTTAGGGCACCCAAGGGAAAGGGGCACGGCATACTGCCATTTGAGGAAGTGTTCGGCACCATGCTGCACGAGCTTACCCACATCATTCATACAAAGCATACAGCCGCTTTCTACGAACTGATGGATGAGCTGAGCAGGCAATGGGAACAGCTGGAAGCCAGTGGACACGTCCTGGATGAGTCCGGCTTCCCCACTGTGGGAGGACATCGAGTCGACCCAATGAACCACAATCCCAGCGCCCTTGAGGCCGCCAAATTTCAGGCGCTGGCTGCAGAGAAGCGAATGCGGATGAACCAGCTCATGGGCTCCGGCAAACTTGGGGGACGACTGGACTGGAGGCTACATCAACAAGCAGTAAGACTTTGCAGGGTTTTTTGGTGTTGTTGAGGAAAAACAAAGGAATGCGAGGATTCGCTATGCTACCGCAAGGATGACTCCACTGGACCGCTAGTAATTAATCAGTAAGACCAGCTCCTAAGTAGGAGTGTTCTCAATGGGGATAGAACGGTCACTGAATACTGGTGCTAATGATACCCGCAGCAAGAAAGCGCCTGCAGTCAAAGGCTTTTCATGCCCGATTATCTTTATGCGCCCAGTAACCCCCTAAGACTTAAAAGGCCCGAATCCCAAGAGTCGCCCCAAACCCCTCAACTCTAAAATTCTGAACCCCTAAAGTCCCCCCAAAAAACGGCCTAGACTCTGAAATCCCCAACCGCTGAAACACCTCTACACCCTAAACCATCCCCAACCCCTACCACTATGGGCTATTAGACCCTACAATTCCCTATTAGGACCCTATTAGGGTTAGATTAAGGTACCCTTAAGGTCTAATAGCCCATAGTGGTAGAGCCCCCCCAAAAAACGGCCTAGGAAGCATCTCCCTGTTCGAGAAAGGGCCGCTCGAGCTGCCGAGCGGCGTGCGGCTGAAGCCAAGCTGGGTTTCGGAGATGAGGAGCACTGTAGGCCCAAAGGGTCCATGTAGGTATATGGTATATAGTTAGGGCCCAAAGGGGTTCCCATATACCTACTTTAAGGCCCAAGTATACCCCATATACCTACATGGACTCTTTGGGAGGGTTTAGGGGCTAGGATTTGGGTGTGGTTTCCCAAAAAAATATGGGTTTTAGGGGGATTTGGGATTAGGGTTTAAGGGTTCAGGGCTTAGGATGAAAGTTTAGGGGTCTAGGCTTTAGGGTTTAAGGTTCAGGGTTTGGGTTTAAGGTAATGATGGAGCGGCCTATTTACGCCAAAGGGGGGTTTGGCGCATAATATGCCATGGTTGGCCTGCCAAATGTAGAGCTTGGTTTGCGTATATGTCATTGCACAGTTGGCTTAGTCGAATAGAAGAGGCTTTTGTGGTATATTGCGGTATGTCAAGTCGTATACTAAGATAAGGCAACAATGTGGGTAGTTATTCAGGCTCCTACAGTACGTCCCATACAGTAACCCCATAGCTCCTATAGAATATTCCTATACGAATTTTCGCAAACCTCAACCCTAAAACCTGAAATCCTAAGCCACAATTTTTTCCGTAGCATCCCCGCACGGAGTTTACCCAGAGAGTTCCTCTTTCCGAAGGAGGATATAGCATGCCACCCATAGAGGACCGAGCTTTGAGCCCTGGGGTACTATTTTGTGCCTGTTAAGGAGCGGCTGGGGACCTTTCAGCCCGTAGTCCAAATGCCTAACCCGACCCAATCCCAAATCCATATAGTCCCCCTTAAGTAGATAGAATATGGCTTTGGGTATATTATAGTCAGATCCGCATGTGCACCATATTCTATCTACTTAAGGGGGACTATAATCCCAAAAATCAAAAAAAAACCTTCAATGCAAGCAATTGTGAGGAGTTGCCGGATGAGGTCAGCCAAACTTCAACAGGAAGCTCCAAAGAGAAGCTATCCATCCTGGCAAAGAGGAAGTGGTGCCAAAAAGCTGGCTGTTCCTGCACGTCCCCTCACCTGGAGCCAACGCCCAAGCAGGAGAAGCCCATGGCTTCTGCGTTTGCCACGGTAGACGAAGACGAGTGGCTGGGTTGCAGGTAAGCATTCAAACTAAACAACTGAATTCAGAAAATTCGGTGTCCACTACATATCCATAAACCCGATTGCTGCATAATCATCCCTCATGTGGTAATTCGATTTGAATTCCTTAATCCTACAGTTTACCACATATCCATAGTATGGCACCTTAATTTCCAACCCTGAGCACTAAGCCTTAAACCCTATACACCCTAATCCCTAAACCCCATAAACCCCAAACCCCATAACCTTATAAACCCCATAAACCCTATAAACCCTGCAAACCCTATAGACCCAAAGCCCTACAAACAATATAGCCTCAACACCTTATAAACCCCATAAACCTTAAAGACCCAAAAGCCACTCACCCTAAGGGTCCAAGTATCTAATAACCATATACTTACACAAAACCAAGACCATGATTACTATTACCCAAACCCCAAGTACCTAATTGTTGGGTACATGGCGCCCTGGGTCAGGTTGATTCAGCAAGCCATCCTGGCCTCGATTGTAGAGTCTCAGAGGCTGCATCCAACTGCAGAGAGTGACTGGCTTGCTGTTTAGGAACTTAAGCTAAGTTACCGTAATGGGTATACAGGGTTTAGGGTTACATTAAGGGTTTAGGGAGTTTAGGGCCTAAGTTACCATAATAGGTCTATAGGGTTTAGGGTTTAGCGTTAAGGGTTTAGGGTATAAGTTACCATAATGGGTACGTATAGCAATTAATATGGTTTCCCCAATACAATAACTTAGATTAAGTTCCTTAACAGAAACCCAGGTGAGCACCTGCAGACCTGCATTGTGCCTGGGATCTACATCCTATGTAATAGGGATTATCCAGAGCTTATGCAGTGGTTTTTAAGGGGATATGCATGGTTTCGGGTATGAGATAAAGAAAATCGAAAACCAAATGGAACATGAAATGAAACTGGGTTCATATAAAGATTAATGGGGGTTTGGATCTGCAGTAGGCACTTGTTTCTCCTCCCTTCCTTTTTGGGGGGTCGTAGGTTCCTTGACAAAAGACATGCAGTTATATACAAAAAAGGGTGCATCTTTTTTCCCAGGTCAGAGAAGAACCTAGGTGCTTAGTGATGATGAGGACACTGCAGCTGCGGGCTAGAGGGCAAAAAGCTGGCTTGCTGCTACGGGAATTAGAGTGAGTCTCACTATATTAAGGAGGCCTTACTAGTTACTATATCCCCATACTATGCTAGTTTAAACCTAAACCCTATATACCGATATAGTGATAAGTCATTTCAACTTCCTTAGACACAACCCTCAAACCCTCAACCCAGAAAAGCTTGAGCGGCACTCCTTGCGTTCAGATGCTCTTCTTTTGCTGGTCGTTAGTAGAGTCAAAATCTAGGATGATGTCCCAACTCGTTAACATCTTGATAAGATTTATGATGCCAATTTATATAGCCCTTAACAGGAATCCCATTTTTAGAATCTTACTGGGTGGGGGCAGCACTCGATGTAGATAGCCCTCAAAAAGATGAGTGGCCGTGGAGGCCGTTTCCTTCTGAACAAGGCTGGGTAAAATCTCTCAGATGCTCCTACAAAGAACCGCTGCCCAACGTGGAAGCTATGCCACCCTGAGCTGCACAACCTACATATGGGTAGTTCCCCAAATTAGGGTCCGATGTTGGTGCCCCTGAATATGAGGCGCCTTAACATAATTCATAACCAAAAGCGTCTCATATCTTTCAGACAAGCCCATAACCTGCTCTTAGGAAGACCTTGTGCCCAGATTCTTTGCAGAGCCCTGGACATTTGGCATTCCAGTCGTATTCGAATGCGCTCCGCCCAAATTGAGATGGAATTCCAATTGAGACCCTCACACACCACGAAACAAGGGGCGCATGGGGTTCCACATTAGTTGGGGGGAGGCTATCCCATTTAGCGATCATCTCTGAACGTCATTGAAGCTGGAATGCCTGACGCAGGCCCCAGGCACGAGCTTTGCAGTTCATCTCATGCTCACACTGCGTGACAGTCCGCATTCTAAGCCAGGATCTGGTGGAGCCGGTTTTTCCTTTCTTTACGGGCGATTGTGGGGGAGTGGGTGGGTTACGCCCTGTTAGAGTCCCAGTATGATCTCCCATAAAATTATGGCTGGTACCTTTCTTCGCCCGTTGCGCCTTAGGCAACAGTAAGCTCGGGTTAGCCTGGAGCCTTCCCGAGCCATGGGCCTATGCACCAGCTGCCTTGGGCGGCGTGAGAGGCAGGATGACAGCAGCAGCTGGGATCAGGTTGATCTGCCCCAAATCCTGCCAACAGTTGAGGATACCAAGCTGACAATCACAACTGGCCGAGGGACGCTGCGAGGTGAGGATGAGGAGGAAGAAGAGTTTGAGCTCGTCACTTTCAAAACCATGCTTGAGTTTCGCACAAGATACTCGCGCAACAAACAGCGTTCTAGAAGTGCACCTCCCAAACTGCTCGGGCACCAGCAGATTTCTCCTGAGAAGATGCGGGGCTTGGAGATGGTGCGGAGTGCAGAGCAACGAGTCATTGAGCCTGAACACCGGCAAGAAGATGTAGAGGCGAAGGCCGTTCACCTCCTGAGTCATCCTAGTGATGATCAATTCGAGCCGCCGCCATTGACATTCGAGCTATTCGCGGGCATAACAGCTGCCAGGCGCCTTCGGATCTGGCGTACATTGCCAGAGCGACCGCACGCCTGTGGCAACACCTGCGCTGCCTGCTGTTCGCTGTATAATACAGAATGGCGGCTGGCATCAATGTGTCACATTCCGGTTGGGCGGCAGCCGGGCGATCCTCCTCTATGTAAAGATTTGGAGGTGTTTGATGATGTTCCAGAGCATGATGTATACCGAGGAATTGCCTAATGGCCCGGCTACTCATGATAGCGCAGCCTGCCACAGGCTCAAATTTGCATAGTCATTACTCTGGTCAGGATAGCTGTTGTGCGCTGGTTTCGGTGGTCCATAACCGCGTCTATGGCTACCATCATCTACCAATGTGAGGAGGTTGCAGTTGGAAGACTGGAACAGTCCTACAAGTTTCACCGCAATTCCCCGATCAAACGCAGCATGTTTTGCAGGCGGTTCATGCCACCGGTGCTGAATGGTCTTGCTCCGCAGATTTCAGTCTAGCTGAAGTGGTGGAAACGTGACCACTTTGCAGGCTTGCCACACTCCCCCCAGTCTGCAGCTTATCTAGAATTCCCATGATCAGCCACCTTTGTACACCCCAGCGCGTTGCAGAGACTAGTGGGTCTTGTTCGCGGTGACATTTAAGGGGTAGGAAATATTCTAAATTCCCAGGGTTACAGTCTTGGTGAGGTTGGGCAAGGTCCCGCGCGAGAAGATCGCTTTGGGTACCTTTTGGCACTTGGCTTGCCAACCTCCAAAGCGTCCGGTGCTGAGAAACTGTTGGCGAAGTAGCTTGCGACAGGGGTGCCAAATGCTTTGAGTTTAGAATTCTGCTCCCGTTACAACTCAGTAAGAGTCTGCCATCCAGCCAGCTTAGACAATAATCAGTTGCGCACTTCAAAATGAAGAACCAAATGAGCACCGTTTTCTGGGTTGCGGTGACGGGACATCTTGGAATTACTATATAAGGAAACTTTGCTATGTCCTATGTAACCATCATAATGCAAGTTGATTCAAATTCCTGAACAGCAACCCAGTTTGTGCTCAGGCATGGAGGCTGACGAAGTGCAGCTCGTTTGCAAGCAAAGCTTCCATTGTGGCTGTAGTTATCCGGGCTGTTGTCTCGCAGCTGCGGCACCGTCGGGCTTGTGCCTGCAGTCATAGAGCCTACCCCTCTGATTTTGTTCATGGTTTCCAGTTCCTTAATCACCACATACCAGGAGGAACAGTCTCGACACCGTTTCTAGGATTGTGCCTCCGCGGAACTGAAGATAAACATGCAACAATTGTTGTGCCGGTTTCAGGGCTTGGGATGGTGTCAAGTTTACAAGAGCCTAAACCCTAAAGCTTTTAGTCCCCCTTAAGTAGATAGAATATGGGGATATGGGGATCTTTTTACTTATAATATATCCAAAGCCACATTCAATTTACTTCAGGGTGAATAAAGCCCTGGCAATGATCGCAGGCATCCATATGCTGCGCTATTGCCCTTTTTGACTGGCGTGCCCGCGGCCGGGAGCTTGGTAAAGAACCCTATGTAAAGCGTGTGGGACGCTTGCGGCCTATTAAGATATACGTTCAACCCAATGCAGAATTCAGGTTTACGGAAAGCGTCCGCCGGTTCTACAGCGGCACTAGAAATTTTAGGATCTATCGCAGAGGCTTGAAGGATGACCACCATTGCCATTCTTCCCCTGTTGTCTCTACCTAATTGTGGTATGGTACAACCCCCAAAGGGTATCCTAATGATTCAAGCCCCGGCATTAGGTTGGAAAGTGCTGAGGATGATTCTTAGACGGAGGCTCTAGGGTTTAGGAAGTTTAGGAGGTTGGAATGAGGATGCGAATAGTTGAAGAAGAGCACTGGCCATAGTTCTGAGTGCTTTCTCAGCCCCCCGTTGAAGTTAACTTATAGTTATAAAGTTTTAAGTGAGAGTAAAAGTTACATGCAATAACCATGCCTTAGGACTAAGCATGTCTGACCCCTTAGTTGCTCAGCAAAGCATTGTCTCACATTGGCGGCCATGTGATGTGGAGCTTTGTTGCGCTGCAAGGGACCGTATCTCAAAAGTTTCGGTCCTCATATATCTCCCCATATATCGTCATAGATGTAAGATCCAGGACCCATGGTCTAAGGCGCGAATTTGCCCTTTACATTCCACAAGGCTACATAATCCCGTAATAAAGACACCCCCCAAAATGAGTTGTTCGTTTTTCTCGCTCGTGTGACAGTACCGGTATGACCCTCAACCCGGGGGGGCCAGAATCAAGGTTGTTTACCGCCAATAAGGTAGCAACCTCGGGGTGGGTAATGTATAGACCCAAAGCCCTAAACCCTTAACCCGAAACCCTTAAACCACAAACTCATAAACCCTAAACTTAAGCCCTAAACCCTTAACCCTAAACCCTAAACCACAAACTCATAAACCCCAAACCTTATGCCCTAAACCCTTCACCCCAACAGCCTAAACCCCTTAACCCATAGAGGGCACCTGGAACCCATGAATCTAAGGGTAGAAGTATGGGCCCCTAATATGGGCCCTTAGGCCTTTTTAGGAGGATTCTAGGGACCCTTAAGGGTACATATAGGGTATATACCAGGTATATAAGGATCCCAGGGTTGAGGGCCCATACTACCCTAAACCCTAAACCCTAAACCGCGTTACTAGGGGCCCATGGCTTTAACCTTAGAATGAAGCCCTCAGGATGCCAGCCCTGTGCAAGCACCGGACATTACGCGGCGGCAGCCTCAGCCCGCGTGGCAGAAGCATAGTTTAGGGTTTAGGGTTTAGGGTATAGGGGTTTAGAGTTTTA